GCCCACACCCACACCCACACCCACACCCACACCCACACCCACACCCAAAATGTTTATGTGGAGACACGTGTAGAATAATAAGAAATTACTTTGTTTGCGTGAGAATATATATCCAAAGATATAAGTTGTTTCTGGCATAGAGTCGAAGTTTCATTTGTACGAGAGAACACGTTGAAAGAGAAGAGAAAAATAATATACCAGAATTTACTAGAGCGAGGTAGAATGCAAGAAACAAGCATGTCAGAACGCAAGAGACAGCAGATACACACATAGCAATGCGGGATGATGACGCAATAATCTTGTTAAGAGAAGAGAGGAGTCCTTTCGATAGAATCTAAACGATATTATAATGATGATAATATCTGCAAAAATTCAAAACGTATATATACGTGATCCGTAACCAAAGGGTTAATAATAAACATTACTACATGCATAAACAGACAGCAGCACGTCTTTTGACAGTTAATAAAAATCATTTATCATCTGATAGACGTTTTCGAGTGAAACAGACCAGTAAACAACATTAATTTTTGTTTTCTTTTTTTGTATCGTTATCCATTTGATTCAAATAAAATAGATGAACAGCTGACTGCAATTTCTTAGAAAAATCAGTGCCAAAAATATAGTCTATTGCTAAAATTATCATAGATTTTTAGCTTACTGTGAAGGATTCTCTAACATGTAGGCTTTGTCTTGATAATTCGTAATATATTTCAGTGAATCATTTTAGATACTCCTGAATTCTTTGAGATCCTCTTGGATCCCCTTGGATCCTCTGAGATTCTTTTGGATCCTTTGGATTCTTTTGGATCCTCTGAGTTTCTATGGCTCCTCTCAGAATCCTTTGGATCCTAGGATCTGAAAGGATCCGCTTTTTCCCCCTTGATGTGGGCGCAGTGTAAGTAAAGAACATCCACGCCCACATCCACACTCCACACCACACCCACACCCACCCCATATGTTCCGGGAACTTTTTCAACACCCTATGTGGAATCACTGGCCTTCATTATAACTTATTGCATATTAATTTTCATTTTGTGGTGTTCATGCAGCATTTTTCACTAAGATAAAAGAAAGAATCAAATACACGTATTCAGAAACACAGAGAACGGCAATTCTTGTTTCAGACTTTCTACATCTCACGATGATCTCATTAGTGCGCAAAGCTAGTATTGAATTTATAGCCCTGTGAAAGTTTGTATTTGTCGACAGATCCCAAAAGAAAAAAAACCTGTAGCAGTATATGGTGCAAAATAGCTTTCAGGCCCAGATCGAGAAGCATGTCTCGGTTCCTGCCGGAAAGCACGAGAAATCGCCGGATGGTAACGAAGAAATCCGGAGCTGTTCCGGCAGCAGGGTCCTACCGCTGGCGGTATCAGAACCCGCTGTGTTCCTGAGTAGGTTTCTGCTGTTTCATTCCCCAGAATTATTCCTTTAGTCTCACGAGGGAACGTTTTCAACTGTCAATTCTCTTTTGAGTTCGGACTTTATGCACAAGATAGACCCTAGTGAGATATGAAAAATCCCAAAAGATTAAATCCTCTAAGGCCTTCTATTCAGAGTTATAGCCATTTTACTGCAATTTTAGCCCAGAGCATGGTGTATACGAACGGATCGAACGATGGTATTTCGATCTGAGATTTTGTCCACAGACATGTCTGTTTATGAGAAGAATGTCCTGAAAACTTCAGCTCAAAAAAACGTTTCCTTTACAAGATATTAAAGTCCCAAAAAACAGAAAATCCTAGCATCTTTTGTCGTATATGAGTCATTTTTGAGACTTTAATATCTTGGGAAGGAAATGGTGTGGGTGTGGGTGTGAGTGTGGGTGGGTGTGGACGAGGGTGGGTGTGGGTGTGGGTGTAGGTGTGAGTGTGAGTGTGGGTGTGCGTGTGTGGCTGTGGCTGTGAGTAGTCAGAGAATCAAAGTCTCCACCCCACTCCTGCACCCTCACCCACATTTACGCCCACACCTACACCCACCCACACCCACACCCTGTAACGTTTGGGCACGGCATCTAGTGAGTTTCTTTTTCTGTGTATGTTGGAATTTTTTGAATTCTTGTTTTTTCTGCACTCATTAGTTCCTTTTTTTTCTTATCTTGGCATATTCTAACCTGTCATTACACTCTTATATATATAGTGTGTTTTTTCTTTCTCGCATCCAACAGCTACACGGCCTCTATTATTTCTTCTTCTATCATGTGTTCAATAAACTCAATGTCCACTTTCACCTTTTTCGAAGAGCTCGCCACGGAACTTTCTTTCCGAACCTTTTCAACAGTTCCGAAACTGTATTTTTTCGTCTTAGCAGATTCTCCGACATGATTACGAAAGAACCGCCCTAATCCTCACCCTTACCCACGCCACCACGATCCGCTTCCACCCTCACCATCATCGGCACCACCAAGATCCGCTCTTATCCTCACCCTCATTCTCAACCCGTCATCATCACTCTCTACCATCAATTTATAATTGGATCTTTCTTAATTGAGCGAAAAAATCTGTTAAAGCGAAGAAAAATAGTTCCGATAGTTCCGGAACTATTGTAACTGTTCCAAAAGAAAGTTCCGTGACCAGTGCTGCTCTTTTTGCTCGAACGAGGTCCCAATAAGTAATAATCATTTAGCCGTAAAGTGCAGACATATGTAATAAAAAGCTTTCGATATATCATAAGTGTGCCACTGTCATATAAAACGACCGTTTCAAGTTGCCTGAAATCTACATTTTATAGTCGACACTGTAATATATTTCATTCTATTCTGTCATCATATGCCGCGCGATGAGATTAGAAGAAACCATCCTTATTCTTTCTTGATGACGCATAACAGAGATTAGATAACGTACGGTGTGATGTAAGCAAATAGCAATGCTTGTAATTGCTTCTTCCCACACTTCAGTAAGCGTAGCCCATTTTTTCTGTTCTTCAGTTTTTCTCCAAACTCAGCATGCCGTTCGTATGATTGGATGACAAAAATCTTTCTCCACTTGAGATATTTCATAAAGCTTGTGCAATACATCGTCTGATGAAGACATAAGAGTAAATGATTAAAATACTGTTTTTCATTCTTCATCTGCGATTATTGCAGAGAAAATAATACGATTACAAACATTCTTCAGTTTCTGGATCATCGTCTTCAGGTAAAAATTACATCTACAATAAAGAAGCACATTGCATGTTTCATATTTTCATATGAATAAAATGGTCACTTTGAAAATTTTCTTGTTTTCAATAACACTATTTTACAGTTGTCAAGAATATATTAATAAAAGGAAGGAGAAGCATCTGAATCTGAATGGAAAAGTAGAAACAATAACAGAAACAACAAGAAGCATTTAGTTATGGTAGAAATCGTTACGAGTCAGTTTTTTCACAATCCGACCGAAGATCGAACGGTTGTTTTTGTGACTAGACATGGGCTAAACGCTAGCAAACAGGAAGTGAAAAAGAAGTATCTACTCCAGCCGTTCTATGTTTTCTTTTTGTGAAAATAATTGAACAGATAAATACGTCTCGTATTAACTTCAAAAGAATTGGATCCGATGAAACGGACTCCGATTAATATCGTGTGACAGAGCTCAAGGTTCAACATTTTTTTTGCAACCTGACCCGCATATTGAAGAAAAGGGTACCATGCCGAACCATTTTGTTTCAAAGTTGAAAACTTAAAAAGGTTTTGTAAGAACCTAGGATACCTTCAAAATGATTGTCAACGGTTTAGGAAACTTTCGTAAAGGTTTCGTAGGAAATCTACGAAACCTGTAAAAAGTTTCCATTTTGTTTAAAAAACTGAAACCTTTCCAGGTTCCGTATCATGTACGAAACTCTTTAAGTTTCGTGCTTGCTACGAAATCTACATTGGTTGCGTATGGCACTTTTTTCAGTGCAGGAAACTTGATCCGAGACGATTACTGTTTCTTACTATCATTAAGTCTATCACAAATGTCAGAGGGTGGGTGTGGGTGTGGGTGGGTGTGGGTGTGGGTGGGTGTGGGTGTGGGTGGGTGTGGGGTGTGGGGTGTGGGTGTGGGTGTGGGTGTGGTGTGGATGTGGGTGTTTAAAGACCGTTAGCCACACCCACATGCACACCCACACATACATCCACACCCACACCCCACACCCTCTTTCGTTCTAGAAAATATAACTTTATAGTAAGAGAATTTATGATGATCTCAAACTTTGCATAAATACTGATAAATATTTCTGGATTTTTAAAAAATATCTACGGTACCACATGCAACACTGCTGAGATATTTAAGTCAGTGGATTCGAATGGTTATTTGAACTGTAAAAATTGAAGGAAAATTTATATACAAAGATGCGCATACCTTCACATGGAAGCTGAGTAAATAGTAGACGGATATTTGCATATGACATTGACGATTTTCAAAGACAAGTCATATCAAAATCTTGAATTAATTCTATTCCAGCCCTCATAAAGATCGTCCGGAACCACTAAGAGCCAGATTATTTCTTTCAAATAAGGATTCCTAGATATATATGATTATCAATGCTATTGAGAATGGATCTTCCAGTTATATAAACATTGTATAAAACGACTTCTTTTTTACATTCTCTCACTTTAAGTAGAAATTTTTCACGATAATTTATTTCGTTGTGGCCTTTATTGACACACGCAAGTGAAAAACACCGATTTTTTTCTTATTCTCATTTCTTTTCACTTCTCAACACACACACCTATTGACAGCATATTCAGCACATGGCAGCAGCGACAACTGACAGAAATTTTTGTGGTATATGCCGAAAAGCAAAAGGAATATCCAAATGTGAAGGTTGTTCAAAAATCTTTTGTTATAATCATTTCGTTGATCATCGTCAAGAATTAAATCAACAACTAGATGAAGTTGAAGTTACTCGTGATATTTTTCAACAAACACTAAGTGAACATGCATCAGAACTAAAATATCACAGTTTAGAACAACAAATTAATGATTGGGAACGTGATTCAATTGAAAAAATTTGGCAAACAGCAGACGAAGGAAGAAAACTATTACTAAAATATACAGCTAAAAGTATTACCGACATAGAAATTACATTGAATCAATTAACTGAACAATTGAAACAAAGTCGTCAAGCAAATGATTTTGTTGAAACAGATCTATGTCAATGGAAAGAGCAACTTATTCAACTAACCGATGAACTTAATAAACCGTCGAAGATTACTATTCGACAAGATTCAAAAGCACTTGTGAACAAAATTTATGTTGCTATATCAACTGGTAAGTGTTGTTGATATTTATAATTCTATCAAAGACAGCAGTGGCGTAGCCAAGGGAGGGGCAAATGGGCTATTGCCCATTTCATTTGGAGATTTGCCCATTGTCATTTTTATGAGTAAGTTTTTGCCCATTGAAATTTCACTTTTTCAGAATTGTTTATTTATTTTTGAATTAAATAATAACTCGTTTTCTTTTCTTCCGTCTGAATCACACATGCATTTTTGCTTGTTCTTTCTGTAAAGAATGAAGAAAAGACTCGCTTCTGGTATTTTAATCAGAGTTGCTAGATGAAAAGCTTAAAAATCAGAAATTCTTGTTTTTAAAATCAGAAAAAAATCAGAAGTTTTTTCTGAAATTGGAAACTAATCATAAAGAGTAACTTTTTGCAAACCAATAGCTATCATGTTGACATACTTGCACAAAAGGCTTCACGTTTTTTTTTGTTTATCGGCTCATACTTTGTTTTTAAAAGCATTTCATAGTAAAGAAAAACAACACAACCATTATATAGCTTAGAGTAAAAGATCATATACTGTAAGCTAAGGAGATTGATCATAGTTGGATCAAATGAAGACTCTCACTATCAAACCAACTAATTAAAAATATGAGCTGCCAGTAGCATACACACACCAAGAAGAAGTTTCCAGTTTGTTACATACCCTCACTACTAAATTTCGTCAACGCTTAGTTTTCTTTTTTCGTCATGGTTGGATAGGACACAACCATTTACATAAGAAAAAACAATATCATGCATATCAAAAAGCAAATTCAACGAAGTCTAAGATAATTTGTTTTTAATTATAAGGGTAATAAACAAAAAATTTTAATTGCTGTCAAATTGCTTTTGAATTTGTGTAATATTGCTTCTCCCTAGGTAAATAGTCGTGTTCCATCCAACCATGATGAAAAAAGAAAACTAAAAGTTGATGAAATTTCGTACTGTGGCTACATGACAAACTAAATATTTTAAAATTTAAACAATTCTGTCTGTGTACACTATTGGCAGTTCATGTTTTAAACTAGTCGTTCCGTATGTGAGAGCATTCATTTGATGCGACTATGATGAATCTCCTTAATTTGCTGTAGCATGGTCTTCAATTGTTAGTTAATATAAAAAACAGTCAGAAAAAGACACCTAGTGTCGGATTGTTTTTCAAAAACCAAAACTCTGTTTACGAAATATATGCACAAAAAAATCATATATATAAACAATGCAGATCAAAAAACCTTACGAAAAATAATAAAAGTTATAGAACATAACTTCTATATTTTATTTTTCAAGGTTTTCTTCGTTCAAAATTCCTTCAATAAATGTTTTTGAGCTAAAATATGTTTACAAAATCGTTCAAACAAAAAAATAATTAGCATTCACTCTTCAGTTCAGCAACGCAACAACTTATTGATATATTAAAGCACTTGGCAGTGGCTGCAGAACTCAGAAAATACAAGAGATTAAGAAAGGAAAGAAGGTAGCGGAATACGAATCTATAATATTAATGGGTTACACTCGTAATTAATTCCACTAGTACAGCCGCCATCTAAAAACGTCTGGAATTCGGCAACAAATCAGAAAAATCAAAAGATCAGAAAAAAATCGGGAAAATGTTCAAATTTCAGAAATTTTCCTGGCTTTTCAGATCTAGCAAGCCTGATTTTAACTGTAAGTTTGGGTGAACGTGAGTTCGATTTTATTGGGAAAACACTATCCACGTAAACGTAGAGAAGGATAGATCAAAAAGAAGAGAAATAAGAGAACACACACGAACATATATATACATATAGAGCGACGTATAGAAGAGAAAGAAGAAATCCAATGACGTATATGTAGAAATATAAAGGAAAAAAACCAATATGTGAAATGACGTAGTTCGTAGAGAATACGTCTATGTGTGTTGTACAGATACATATTTGAAAAATCCTCAATACTAACTTATGCATGTGTTTTTTTACGTTATTAGTACTTTGTTGAGTGAAAAAAAGTTTTGGCCTATCAATAAGAACCTTGCCCATTTCGCCCATTGCTTTTTTTCGACACAAGAGAAGTTTGCCCATTGGTCTAAAAATCCTGGTTACGCCGCTGAAGGACAGTTATACTATCTTGGAACAGTTCACAGTTTGAAACTTATCTTCATACCAGTTGTATCTTATCGATAGAACTTCAGGAGTTCTTAATATTCATATAAAACTATATGGAAGGAAATGGACAATCGGAATAGGCTCCTTGTGTAAAGAACATTATTGTGCAAAAAGTAGTTTGAAATAAGTATTTTTTCAAAAGAGTTCGATAGATAAAACAATAGAATCGAAAAAAAATTACTTGTATCGAAGGAATTCTTATCAATTGTATCTTTGATAACGATAAAGCCCTAGCGGGAGGGTCTCATCTCAGGTACTTTGTTTATTTTGTATTATAGCCGCGTTGCAATAAACATAAACAACAACTAATTCTTCAAAGGAATTTTTTTACTATTTTTTCAATAGGTGCCCTGAAATGGAAATACACAGCAATTTAGTTTTTCTTAAATGATGAATATTTTTTAATATGAATTTTATAATACATTCACATATTTCCTGTAAGTTGTTCAATTGGACAAGTCTTATTTATATTTATAACAGGAGAGTCTTATTGCAGATACTTTGTTTACTTTTTTATTACATGAGCCATGAAGAAAAATAAAAATGACCATTTAATTTAATTAAATTCATTGTCAATTCATAGATTTTACAGTGTGTATTTAAATAAAAACTTACTGATGTAACGATTATTTATGTTAAGAATAGTTAGGAGCATTAGATTTAAATGAGTTTTCATTTATATCTCATTTTATGCACGATAAATTGATAATTAAGACGCTATTGCTTGATTCAAATCGGTTGACTGCTCGTAACATTACTTTCTATAGTTGATTGAATTTCGAAGGAAAATTCAAAAGAAGACATGTAGACATTCATCACTATGAGATTTCTACTGAAGTATACCAACATATTTCTAAATACCACTGTTTTTCATTCCACTTTATGTACATACACATCGAAATCCTGAATTTTTCTTTGCAAAGATTTCAAGAATGGAAAATCAAAAGATATTTGTTCCAAAGTAAAAATAAAATTTCCAAATCAAACAAGAGAAATCTCTTCTCTAACCCTTTAGACAAAGCCATTTTTGCTTACAAATGGCTACCCCAAAACGTAAACTTTTGAGAGGCTTTTGTTTTTTAAATTCGAGATATTTAAAACCTCAACAGCATAAAAATCAGCCATCATTTTGATTGAGCAACTAGGACATTGCCTTACAGATATGAGTACAGTTTATGATAGATAATGAATTACCTAAATGATTGAATTATCAATTAGTAGGATTCTTTAGAAGCATGTTGATATGCATTGATAGAGTTTTCTCAGTAACAGATATCACAATGCCTACTTCTCAATTCGATCAATCGATTGAAGTGTGGCTTTTCTAGCTATATCGGTAGAAAATATATCGCAATAAACTGTAATTATATTCAAGGAAAAACAATGTGTCGTAGTCAATTATAGAAACGATCACTTGTTTTTTACAAGTTATTGATATGTCGATAATCGACATTCAAAGCGTCTTCGCTTCGAATTTGATAGTTCCAAGAAAACTCTTAAGCTATGCAATTTCTTTAAACAGATTGGACTCTCAATCATCCGATTTACTTACTTAAATGGTCTCGGATAAGTAAGGTTCGTAGAAAAATTGTCATGTTGTCTCTTATATTAACAAGATCTGATGTAATCAGCAAAATACATATAACTTCCACTAGATGATGAAATTATATGTATATGGGATTTCTTCTGCAAGATTGATAAATGCATTTACAAGATACTTTTTAGAAAATTAGTTTTCATGGAACGTTAGTACTGAATTTTCTTCCTTCCCTTTCCTCTGCTCTGATAAACTTCCACTTGAATGATGACGATAGTGAATAGATTTGTCCTGCTGGAAAAAAGAGTAGAAGGGACGAGTCATCGACATAATTTTAGCTTGTGTCGATCTGCTATTCAAAAGTCTTTTGCGTAGTAATTGGTTTCAATCAAAAATATCCTACACTAATATAGATATGTAATGTTTCTGTTCGAACTAGAAAAAATTATTTTAGCATCTATTAATCATCAAAACTATCAAATCATATTTTAAATTACAGTAGAAACTATGCGTTCTGGTATAAAACATTTTAATCTATAACGATAAAGTCTCTTTTATAGAAAAATATTTAATTTATCTTCAATGATTATTTATTAACAAGAATAGATTTTTAAAAAGAAAAACAGTTACTCTGACTTAAACATAATCACTTGAAAATCATTTTTACGAACAAGAAAAATGATTTTCAAGGCGATAAACATATTGGAACAGCTCACTCTTGTACAGAAGGAAGCCGCAAAAAAATAATCGTTTGTAAAGATTATCGGTAAATATTGCTGTCGTTCTAAGACAATAACACATTACAAACGATGTTGTACAATAGTTATAATAGGTAAGGTGCGGGAAATGCAAAATTTGAGTGAATTTTTTTTCTCGTTCGTTTATATATGGTTAGATAGAGCTTGAAAAGCTGGTCACGAATATATACTTTTTATTTTGATTTGACTGCTGTTTGGCTGAAAAAAACGGTAAAAAAGTCGAATGACTACAAATAAGTAGATATTCACTTTTTTACCGTTTTTTTCAGCCAAACAGCAGTCAAATCAAAATAAAAAGTATATATTCGTGACCAGCTTTTCAAGCTCTATCTAACCATATATAAACGAACGAGAAAAAAAATTCACTCAAATTTTGCATTTCCCGCACCTTATATCAAATAATATCTATGCTGTTCAATGAGAAGATTCATAATATGATAATAGATTTTTAATATGCCATGATATACATAAATGATAAAAAGTTACATTCTATTTAGTGATTCTCTTAATGTAATTACCTGGAAATAAGATAAGCGATAAAATTATTTTTGTAATATAAAGTTTCATAATATCATCAAATAAAATGGAATTTCGATGGTTTGTAACGATCCTTTGAATATCTTTCATCTCATATATCTATTAAATGCTTAATATTTTTTTACTATTATCCTCCACCCTCAAACGTTTTCATAGATGCATAGAGTGCGCAGCCATTGTCAATTATTAATTTGAAAAAAAGCGCCAATAGTAGAACATTTAAAAGTTGAATTTTCTATAAAATAATACTCTTTTTTTTGCTTATACAATTGTCAGACTTTTAATAAAACAATTTGGTTGATCTTTTATTCAATTTATGTGTGTTAAATGATTATTTACTTTCGTTAGGTTCATGATGACATCCTCTTGATAAGTATTTCCTAAATCTTGATGAATATAGAACGAACTACAGAGATTCGATCTCTATCTTGAAGATGAGGGATAGATTATTAGCAATCTTAGAACTACTTTTTGCTTTCAACTCTTCATTTTCGGGATGAAAGAAAAACTTTAGAATAATGTGTCGAAATTTAAACACAAAAACTACATCATTACCAACTTTAAGATAAATTTAGCTTAAGAATCCTAACTTTGAGAACGAAAAATAAACTTCGGAGATGCGTTCTTCGATTTGAGCAATAAGATCTTTACTAACTTTAGAATATTTTCTTGCTATAATATGGTAACTTTAGAGCAATAAAATAAACTATGGAGATAGAAGACAAATCAAATCTTACTTATTTTTCTGATGATCTTCTTTAGTGATCATGAATCTAACAAAAAAAATAATCATATACTTATTTGCAAAGAGTTTCTCTCTCAAAAAAAGTCATTTCAAATTGAAACAAAAAAATGCATTTACAAATACTCGTTTATTTATAAAATGACTTAAACGAAAAAGTACCTAAATAGCATATCACTTAGAATCCATCTTAGAAAAGTTCTCTTTATTGATTATATTTGACTGAAATATCATGTCTAGTTGGTTCCTATTGGCTAAGTAAATTCTCACCCTGAGTATTTCTGTCTAAAGCTACTCAAACAAATTTTCATAGTGTATTATGATCAAGAAAATGAACTCTCTGTATTTTATTGTGATTAATCAAGTTATAATTTTTTTATATTTCGATTCGTTTTCAACTAAGCAAAATTTGAGAAAAAATGGAAAAATTATGGAAACAGTAGCTATATGGGAGCTAACATTGTTTTCTTTTCATGATAACTCGTCAAGCTACTTTGCCCTTTTTATCAAATACAAGTGGATAGAACTTTTTCAGAAAAGCTAACTGACAGGAGTTGAAAAAAAGTATATGCACTATATTGGATAATCAAAAGTATCCAAATTCAATTATAGATTGTGTAGAAAGAAAATTATAGTATCATTAGTTATTCGACTATAGAGGTATCGTATAATGAACTTGGAATAATGAATCGTTCTTGTTGTGAGTGCAGACTTTTTCCCTCAAAATTGTATCGAAGTTGAGAGCAAAGCAAAAAGCTTTTCAGCGCATCCCCAAAGGGGCTAAAATGTGGAACTCGCATATATTCTCTAGTCTTATTAACCTAATATCAAATACATAAAGTGAAAAATCTCTCGCAGGCTATTCTGCATTTCGAACAAAGATTTATTTCTATGCGCGCTACTATTTATTTTTCATTTTGTCAATTCGCTCATAATTTTTCATTTTTTCAATTCTTTTTTTCTTATTAATTTAATAGTGTTATTGTTATAATCAACGAATTAACTGGCAAACAAGTCTGTTTTAGACATTGATCATACCTACAGCAGATTTAATGTAGTATTATAAAATATAATTAACGGACGAAAAATGATATTCATTATTTCTCAAAATTTTCACTTGATCACTTTTGCAAAAAAATTAGAAAATCTGAAGCCTATTTTCTCCAACAGCTGAAGTCTGTAATGGGGACCTGTTTGTAATGGAGGGGATGTCTGTAATGAGGGGTGTCTGTAATTGAGGGTTGTCTGTAATGGAGAGGGGGGAGAGGAGGGGGGAGACCCCAAATCTTCGACTCAAAACTTGCACTCACTATTTTCTTCGAAAATATATGTGAGTTCCACAAAAGCAAGACTTTTTAGCATCGTAAACTTGTGTTTCATTATAGTAGCATCATGCATGACGGAGATCAATGCCAACACAAGATGGTTACAAAATGGTATCACGGTCGCTGGAGGTAATGAAAGAGGAAATCGGTTAAATCAACTCAATCATCCATGGGGTATATGTATTGATGATGATGAACAAACTATGTATATCGCTGATACTTCTAATCATCGCATTATCGCATGGATGTATGGAGCAACGAATGGCCAAATCGTGGCTGGCGGGAATGGATCAGGAAATCGAACTGATCAGTTAAATAATCCAAAAGATGTTGTTGTTGATAAAGAGAATGATTGTCTCATTATCTGCGATCAAGGTAACAGTCGAGTGGTGCGATGGCCTCGTCGGAATGGCACAAGTGGACAAACAATCATCTCCGATGTTGGATGTACAGGAGTAGCAATGGATAATGATGGATATTTTTATGTTTCTGACTACAAGACCCATGAAGTACGTCGGTGGAAAACAGGAGATACTTGTGGAACAGTAGTAGCAGGTGGTCGTGGACAAGGTGATCGTCTTGATCAACTCAACAGCCCTAGGTGTATCTTTGTCGATCAAGATTATTCAGTTTACGTATCAGATGAGAAAAATCATCGTGTGATGAAATGGATAAAAGATGCAACAGAAGGGATTGTCGTTGCTGGTGGTCAAGGCAATGGAAATGATCCAGCTCAATTGTCTGACCCTCGTGGAGTAATTGTTGATAAGTTAGATACAGTCTATGTGACAGATAATGGAAACGATAGAGTGGTGTGTTGGTTACAAGAGGCTAAACAAGGTACTGTTGTTGTTGGTGGAAATAATCAAGGAAAGGAATCAAACCAACTCTGTTATCCTCAAGATTTATCATTTGATCGACAAGGCAATCTCTATGTTGTCGATCATGCCAATCATCGAATACAACGATTCAGTATTGATTTAAGTTCCAGTTAGTAGTGACATAGAGTAACTTCCAATGAACTGTCGTAATTGTTTCACATCCTACTTTTGTTAGCAATAAACTTGTAAAATTCTCTCAAGTTAGAAATTTCCTACAAAGTTTTAAGCGTTCACACTTAAAGATATATGTTTGTTACATTTCTACTAAGATGATTGTTGTATGAAGTCTTAATAGATTACACAATAATGACGAAAATCGTTCGAATATTAAGACTCAACTTTCTTCAACGATATCAGAGCATTTTTGTAGAAAAACAAATATGAAAACTATTTTTTCAATTCAAGGCTACAAATCAATCGATACAATGGCAAAAAGGGTGTGGATGTGGGTGTGGCTGTGGTTGTGGGTGGGTGTGTGGGTGTGGCTGTGGACCCACACACCCACACCCACACCCACCCACACCCACCCACACCCCACACCCACCCACACCCACACCCTTGAACAATTATGTGCAAATAAAAATTTATCATATAAAGGAAGAGATTAAATTATGTCTACTAATTCATCAACCTTCCTCTCACACAAATAAGTCATCCGTCAATATATACATTCCATGGTAGAAGTCGATAGCAATTGTTTATTTCTTTTGAATTCCTTTTGGCAAAATATCCACAGAAAAAAAATGCGTTATATCGAGAAAGAGAACGTCTGAATAGGAGAAAAATGCATTCTTATCAAACGAAGCAACTAGACGACCTGATGGAAAGAAAAGAAAAGAAAAAAACAATAATATTTTATGATCCAATCAATTTTTAAATGAAAGAGCACAACTATTTCTGTTACTTTTTCTCACAGAATTTATTTTTTCTTCTGACAAGACATGCATTTTTTTTTTGTCCCAAGAGAATATACATCGATGCCATGGTGTGCATTT